GTCAACCTTGAGCCGGTGAGATTAGAACTGCTGAACTGCAGACAACAGTCAGCTGAAGTGGCCTGCAGTACTGCACCCTAACCACTGCGCCACCTGGGCTCTGAAGTGGGTTGCCAATTTTTTTACTACCACCTACCTCTTGGGACACCCCCAAGTGTGAAGGTCTGCTGGAGAGGACTGTCCAACGATGTGTGTTGGATCTGGCAGGTCATCTGAGAGCTGACATTTTCTTGCCCGAGAGGGATTTCCACCATGCTGTCCACTCGGTACAAGGTGGTCTCATTTCTTTCAAAACCCACAATGTTGGTCTGGGCAACTGGTATTTCTTCCCCATCCTTCAACCAGATGACTGTGATCTCTCGGGGGAAGAATCCCTCCGCGGAGCAGTTGAAGGAGGCCCGAGACCCCGCCGTGATTCTTCCTGTGAGGCCAATAATCACAGGCATGGCTGAGGGAGAAAGTAGAGAGAGAGAGGCATCAGTTGACGTTCCTCAGAGACGATACAGGAGGCCACGAGATGGTTTTTGGTCAGAGAGACTCAACTTTGAAGGGTGTCCAGAGGTGTCCAGAGGTGGGATTCAAAAATTGCAGCAACTGGTTCTCTGCCTGGTTGCTGGGTGGGTGTGGCTATGATGGGCGTGGGCTACTCGGCCTCCTGCATCATGGGAGTATGTCTTTTCAACCTCCCCAGGGTCTGGAGTGTTTTTTCAAACCTCCAGGAGGATGAAAACAGCCTCCCCCGACTCTGGAGGCCCGTTTCCGGCCTTCTGGAACTTCTGTGTGGGCCCTGCACTTACCTGGCATCCAAAATGGGGCGCATGGAGACTCCTAGTGGGGGAGGGCTGGGCGGGGGGCAGCCACTCCTTGCAACTACCAGTTCGGTGAACCAGATGTTAAAATTAGCATCCGGTTTGCCTGAACCAGTCCGCACCGGCTGAATCCCACCCCTGCATGTGTCTCATGGTTGACTGGGAACACCTCCCTCCATCCCCAGAAATCAAATGCAGAGGGCCACCTACCGATCACGGAGACCAGAGTGCCTTTCCCTCCAAACTGCATGCTCCCTTGGCTCACGGTCTTAAACATATTACAATAGTAAGTCCCGGCATCTTCAGGACGGACGTTTTGGATCTTGATGCTGAAGTCCGTGTTGGATCCTGGGATGACCCTGGCCACCTTGTTGGATGCTCTTTGTTTATCACTGTAAATTTCCTGTTCTCTGTCCCTCCCTTTGAACCACCGCACGCTTCCAGGTAAATTATCTCCAGTCACTGTACACTCTAGAGTGATGGTCTCTCCTGCTTTCACCGATATGGATTCCGGAAGTTGGGTTATCTTTACGTTCTGTCCTGTAACAACTGAAACAAGAAAAAGACGCATGTATACTATTACATAGTCAATATGATGTTGGACTTCCGGGGAGGGCCTTGCCGTTGCCGGCAGCTTAACTGAGCTGCCCCCAGAGTTCTGGTTCGTTATCTACTTAATATCTAATAGATATCTCTTTTTTCAGGCAATTAAAAAGCAGAGAGGGACCCAGTCGGTAAGAATCCTCTTTGAAGTTTGCAGTTGTTTTTTTTTTTTGGCTGTGAATGGAGGGGGAGGATCAGCCAAGGCTGAGTCATTTAACTCCGGCCAGAATTTCTCAGCTGTTTTTCACAGCACAAGGCAAGGAACCCCCCCCCCGCCCCTCAGGAGAATCTTTTGGAACTAGGCTATTGAAAATTAATACGAGCAGAGACCGAACCTGAGAACTTTATTTTGTTTTTTCCATCAAAAATACCAGCTTCAATGTTATAAAAAACTCTTTTGTTTAATTGTTTCCAAAATGGCGATTTTATAGCTTCCGCATTTGTTATAATGATATATCTCCAACTTCCTGGCACAGAATCAAAGGAATAACTTCTTACAAATTAATTAGCTCCACTCCCTTGAAGCTTTCAAAGACTCTTTGTTGATATAGAGACATTCCAAATGGGGTTTCTCTTTGTTGTTGTTTTTTCTGTCTTGCTGAACTGTTT